AGCAATGCGAGCCAGAGCTGCTTTCCTAAACTTTGACTTTGGCTTTGAAGTTGACAACCAATGTTGTTGGATTGATATCTGTGCATTCATGTATGCATGCCTGTTAATGGGTAGGTGTTATTACAAGGGGTATATCCTTGTGGAATCACTGACTCACTCTAGCTCATACAAACACACACACACAAAACAATACACCCTGTGCACATACTCACAGAGGCCTGGGGCTTAATTCAGATGTGTTTAGCTTTGAGCTTGTGCTTACTGGATGAATCTTTGTGTTTTTTGTAGTTCTGAGGTTTTTAATGGACACTGATTCCACCACCTACTCAGACAAACACAGAATAGTCAAAGACACAACAAAGTCTTTCTGTTTGTGTCGCGCTGGCGTCTTCCCATGCATAGCAATGCATCTGCTTCCTCAAAGGCTGAACACCTGTCAGCCTGACTACAATTTCATTATCTAAGTTCTGCATACTATTTGTTTCAATGTCAAACAACAGCTGCTAGTAGAAATTTCTACAAAGTAAATGGTCAAAAGCAGTCAGCTGAGCATCTGATCAGAATTGTTTGTGAATTTAGATTGTGTCCTATTTTAATTTAGTTAATTTAATGGTAGAATAAAGTTTGTTGGGCAAGGCACATGATTCCATGGGACTATACTTGGTCTCATGATAGGTTCCATCTCCCGTTCCCTTATAAAGATTGGCCCTGTTTTGCACTGGGTGTAAGATAGGGCTCATAAAGTCTATAGCCACACTGCAGCAGCTTTATAATAGAATGATTTCACAACTCTGGAAAGTTATCAGTGGCACATAGATGATGACAGCAAATGACCACATTCACATTGGGAGGTAAACCATTGGCCAACAAAGCACTTTTCCAATTCACGATGCACTGGACTGGAGGGAAAATTTGGCCAGGCTCAACATTGTTATTTTGCCAGGGACCTTTGCAACAAACATTTTCTCTGTTGTGCCAACAGGAAAATGAATATAAATATCTACTGAAATGAATAAAGTGGCTGTGTTTTCTCATTCAGCACTGTAATCAGTCTGAACTCAATCTGCTGCCACTGCTGGCTACAATTGCTGATAATTTTTTCAAGATTGTGCAACATTTCCACAACTTTGTCAAAGGCACATTATTTTTATTTTG